GGCAGGGAGTGGGATTTTGCTTGGATTATCATACAAACCCCCCAAGAAGGAGGGCTCCTGAACCAGGGGGGCAAAGAGCTGGAACTGTGGGGCCAACGGGTCTGTAGCCAGTAACAGACTGAATGAATAAGATCCCACAAGGGGGAATCTTCTTATTCCGGTCTTAAGAGTCAGTTATTGCAAAGAACGCAAGAGGGAACTGAGGAAGTACCTGCAGGGCCATCCCAGGCCACCAGGGGACACTCTGGGATGACACCCATCCACATACACCTTAACAAAAAGCAAGGGGCAGGTATCACGCCTGTCTCCTCAGGACATTTCCCCCCAGCTAGCCATCATCACCTCGGTCTTGCCAGGATTGGGTCCTAGCCAACCAGCCCTCATCCAGGTCCCAGGCACGGGAAGACACTGGGAAAGCAGATACTGCACTTCATCTTGGAAAAAGATGAAGACTAACTACGTGTTCCAGACGTGTTCCTTTCCAGACTAAATACGTGTTCCCTTCAGGAGGCTCCAGCTTCAACCAGCCATGCCTTGGAAGCCCAACTCTGCCTTTTCAACTTCCGTTCAATTCCTTTCCCCCTCCTTGCTTCCCCTACATTTAAAAATGAGTCTCCAAACCAATGTGCTGTTTAAAAGAACACACCGTGCCTATGAAACTCCCTTTTCTGAGCGTCTAGCCAAGCGCAAGCTCTCCCAAGCCCAGTGTGTGCCGAATATTACTGCTGCTCCTGCTCACGTCACCTCCACCCTCAGACAGCTCCACTGTCTGCCCAGCATTACAGCATCCAGATGAAAAATATCCCCCTTGATTTTAACACCTATCTGTGCGCTTGCTGTAGTGTACCGTACGCACCTCGGGCCAGGTACTGTTCTCTTCTGGTGACTTCGGTGGAGTTATTTTGGATTTACACAAGTGTCACCAAGGTCGGGATCTGTGTATTGGTCTCTTTCCATTCACAGTCTCTTGCATGAGCACTGCCTCCACTGCAGAACATGCCATTTGGAAGAGCTCCCTGTATCCTTCCGCCTCATCGCTCTCCAGCTTTCTTCAAATCTCCTTTGAAAGCCTCGTCTGTGCCTCTCTGTATTTCTCTCCCTCTGCTTTGGGATTTTAGTTCAACTCCATGCATGTCACTGCCTGGCCGGGTGGAGGGTCTGGAGACACCAATTTGTAGGGAAGCAAGGCTGCGGTGTTTGTGTCAGTGTACGCCCTGGCAATGTAGTGCGTTCCTGTGTTGCTGAGTCCCGAGCGGACAGTAGATATTATGGTCCAGTATATATATGATTTCCTGGCAGACTCCACAAATCTGAAGAGAAGGTTCTGACCCCATTATTCTGCAAATGTGTGAAACGAGAACATGAAATCATATTGAAGCATTTGTCTCTTTAAGGCTTTTCAATGTTTCTGTTTGGAAAAACTCCTGCCGTTGATGTTGAACTTCAGTTTGCCGTTAACACAATGAGCTGGAACTGACCCACTGTACAATGGCGCATAGAATTGAGAGATGGAAAAGACCTATAAGGTCCCGTCTAATCCATCCCTCCCCCCGCCAGCGCGGGATTGTTCCCCACAGTCTGTTTTCTTTGCTGTGACCTATATAGTCAAAAAGAATCTTGTTGCACATTTTTGTTTTGTACCTTGAGGTCCTCATGGAGCCAAATCCCTTTTTTTGTGTGGTGGGCTGTGTTGTTAAACAGCACTAGAGCCCGGAGGAAAACCATGGAGACGCAGGCACAATGGGCTCTCTATGGTCCTGATTTACTTCAGGACGTTAACTGCTAGATAAAATAGCTGGGCTGTTCTTCTCATGGGATATGCAGTGGCTGTAAGGGTGTTGAGACCAGGGGAAGAAGGCGAGTGGGTGTGAAGTTTGCAATCTCTCCTCAAGAAAAAAAGTAAGGATAAAAGGTAAAAAGGGGAAGGAGAAATTATGCATCCATAATTTTCCTATTTAACCAGCACCTTAACTTTCATATGAGTAGGATAATGGTAATGCCTTTCTCTAGGAGAAGGTTTCTCAACCTGGGGGTCGTGAGCACCCTGCTCTTTCCATATTGTGGAAAAAGTCCTTTCTGGATCTCTGCTAAATGAAAGGAAGGCTCCTCGTATGGAAAAGAGGGTCCTAATATGAAAAAAGATTGAGAATCACTGCAGTAGGATAATTCAGTGTCCTGTGAACTAAGACAACACAAGGGAAAGTAGGGGTTGGTCTTAAAAATCTTGAGTAAATTTCCCCTGCTGGAACATGGTTTCCCCCTGACATACAGTTCCATTCATCAGGGCAGTTAATTTAATAAAATCCTTTACACATATACAGCACACAGGCTTTTGTCTCTCAGGATCCCAAAGTGTGGCATGAAATGTCAGTCGTGAAGGATCGCTGAAATGCAGCTGCTTATCCAAAAATGAATTTTTCTTCTATATTTTAAATTCATCACACCAAACTCATTTGGAAAAAACGCTTGTTGCCGTTTCTTCAGCCAGCTTGTGTTATGTGGCCTTCCAATGTGCATAAGCATATTCTTGGATGCACTGTCATTTTGATTGAAGTTAGGGTGTAAAAGACACGTCTGATCATAGTTCCGCTTAATTAACACCCTCGCTGCAGCCAAGATCTCAAAGTTTAAAAGTGCAGCATGGGGAAGAGAAGCTTAAGCATCTTTGTGTCTGAGGCGGGAGCCAGACGCCATCCAGAAGCCTTGACATTCATAGAGGATAAACAGTGTTGTCAAGTATGACTGCAAAAGACGATCAAATTATGTCCGCGAAAGATGTGGAACTGAATGTCAAGTAGGTGAACTTGAATGTCAAATATTTGAACAATGCAGCATACGTCTCCGAGGTGGGAGGGTGAAAAATCCCAGATGTCTTTGATTAGTCACTGGTCTTTGGAGTTCAGGGAGGAGAGTTTGAACGTGTTCCTTTGAATCCCAGGTTTGAAAGTGGCTCCTGAGAAAACTATTCCATTAGCATGATTATTTCCTCACCCAGGATCAAAGTTAGCAGGGTCTTTGTTGACAGTGGGCAGCCATCAGGGTTTAGAGGGAACACCTGGCACAGTGAAAGTGTGTGCATGGCACATGCATGTGTTGATTTTATGGCTTTGTGAAATGGTTCAAATAAGAATGTACCACCCTGCACCTTTGTCCAGTGCTTCAGAACCAAGATTCTCAGACATCTGTGAAACCATCTGTCTTCCCTTCCGGCCTCCACCTGGAACTGCTAGGGCATTCCACCCAGAAGCAGAAGGCTGGAAAGCACCTGCGCAAACCAGTCCAGTTTTGTAGACACATTATGCTTGGATAATGTCTGAACTTTTGGGCACCGACCTCCCCTCCACTCCACAGTAGTGGAGACCTTTGTAAAGCTCTTGGGACGCTTCCAGCACTCTATTACAGAGGTTTTTTGGACAAATTGTTTATTCGCTGAAAAATGCAGTTTTGATGCAACTGAAACTATTTGCAAACTTGACCCAATGGTTTCTGCTGGGGTGAGTGGTTATTTTTTGAGGGTCAGCAAACTGGGTGTGCGCATGCCCATATGTCCCCTTGATAACTTTCAGTCCCTTCATTGATTGAGGCGCTTGCCTGGGATGTGGAAAACCCAAGGGATACAGTTTTCCTATTGACGCTGTTCCACTTTGTATAAATACTTAAATGTTCGCTGGGCCAAAGAGAGAGGAGAGTGAACATGACTCTCTAGCCTGAAGAGCAGCTCTGTGTGAGCTTGAGAGCTGTCTCTTTCTCCAACAGAAGTTGGTCCAGTCAGGGCCGGCTTTAGGACCTGCGGGGTCCAATTCCGCGATCTGGGACTTCGGCTCCGTGTCTTTCGCGGCACTGAAGGACCCCCCCGCCGCCGAAATTCCGCCAAAGACCCTGGAGCGCCCCCCGCCGCCGCCGCCGAAATGCTGCCGGAGCAGACCACCGGCGGGTGAGCCTAAGGCGAGGGGCCTTCTTACCCGCGGGGCCCAATTCCGGGGAATCGGGGGAATCAGCCTAAAGCCGGCCCTGGGTCCAGTAGAAGATACTACTTCCCCCACCTTGTGTCTCTACAGACTGGTGATTAAGGCACTCAGCTGGGCAGTAGGAGAGGTGGATTCAAATTCCTCCTTTGAATCCAGGAGCGAAGATTTGAACCCATATCTTTTTCTACCCCGCAGAGGAGTGTTTTAATCACCCCTGGGCTGGATGGACCTTTGGTCTGAACCAGTGTGGCCGGTCTTATGTTCTTAGGCTACAGAGCCATTCTCTCTCTTTCTCTGACCCACACAGAGAGAGAGAGCAATGCACCACAGAATAACCTGCAGGTTAGAGCACTCACCTGGGAATGGGGAGAGTTGAGTTTAAGTGCCTGATCCAGAGTGAGGATTCAAACCTGAGACTCCCATTGCAGGTGAGTGCCCTAATCACTGGGCTAAAGGTTGTGACAGACGGACGGACACACACATACACACAGTGGTTTGCTGGCCCTACCAATTTGCGGACAAATTCCAAACATTTTCAGAACCAAATATTTTCCCTGATTTTTCGGTTTCCTGGATGAACTGAAAAATCAGTTATTCACCTAGCTCTACTCTGTAATGTGTATGGCTGGAAATATCTTCCTTGGCACAGTTCAAATGAAGTATCAGGTAATGTAGTTGAAGAAGGGAGGCACTTAATATGACTTTAACATCTGTATATGGATGGTCTTGTGATTATGGTAACAGGACACCGGGTTTCTATTCCTGGCTCTGGCACTGACTTGCTTTGTGAGTCTGAGCACGTCAGTTAACTGCTGTGTGCCTCAGTTTCCCCTCTGTAAAACGGAGGTAGTGTTTACCAAGCTTGCCGCGGTGCTGTGAAGCTAAATTAACTCGTTTGCAAAGCATTTTTTAAATTCTTCTCTAGGCGATCCTGCTAGCCTGATCCCTTGGTAGCTTTTAGGTGGACCCTCTGACCTTAAAAAAAATATATATATATATATTCATCACATGGCGGTTTTGTTTTTGTTGCAGCTTCTAGATCTGTTCATCCAGTGGGACTGGTCGACGTATTTGGCTGACTACGGGCAACCCACATGCAAATATCTTCGTGTGAACCCAACGACAGCCCTTATCCTGCTGGAAAAGTGAGTATGGCTCAAGACATTCTTTTGATGGTTTCAACTGCTGTACTTGCTTTAACAAGCCAGGGTGTTTCCAGCAATGCATTTCATTATTCACACTGCCTCCTCTGTGCTGATCTCAGGTAAGTGGAAAATTGCTTGCTAGCACATATGCCTACGTTCAAAGGGTCAATCTTTTTTGCATCCTGGTGTGTACAGTGGAAGAGTCCCTCTGGCAGCCAGTCCCTCTATTTCACACTAATTGGAGCTGCATTCTACGTATCACCATGCCTTGAAGCAATTTCTATTCTATATAGGTTTTATACCGATATATTTTTCAATTGGGACACACATTCTGCTTTACTTTGAGCAGAGTTTCCTCATAGTTTACTATAAGTAGCTTCCCCTGTATATGTGTGTGTCTGATGTGGCCACCAAAAGTAGTCTACTGCAACGACCTTGTAGGGAAGACTAGACAGTTTCACACTAGGGATGCTAAGAGCTCAGTTATGGGAGCGGGACAGAGCTCCCAAGTGGCTTTGTCTTTAGACATGATACTTCCAAAGATCTGGGGCAGCATGAAGAGAAAGCACCTTTTGCTTTCCTTGTTCATCCAGTTGTTCATAAGTTGTAGGTAGCGCCAAAGTGGCTAGGGCCAGTAATGCTAGCCACCCCGCCTCCCTTAGGTACCTTTAAAAATCCCAGCCCAAGTGTTGAAAATTGTTGGTTACCAATGTTAGGCTTCACATTCACCTTAGATGCCTTCGTGTTATTTTCGTAATACCCCCAGCGTGTTCGAAGGCTGCATTATTTCTGCATCTTGCTTCGCACGGCCCTTCAACTTTTCACCAGCAATCCTCAAAAATACGCATCCTGACATCATATGGGTGGGGGTAGCTAATTCCGTACAGAATTGTACTGTGGCCATTTATCTGTAAAACGGGGGTTAATTAAAATTTGTCAAGTTCTTTGGACAGGTAAT